TCGTTCTCAACAGGTACTGTAACTCAATACTCAGTCGTTATCACTCCCGTGTGTTCGTCTGAGTATCTATATATCGTACTTACTCGTTCTCAACAATGATCCTCGAGAAACTTTGGAGTACAATAATCATGTAAGGGAAACATATTTGAGTGTGGTCCAGAGCCTATTGGTTGTATACAGGACTAAATGAGTCTTGCTATTTGCTTTGATTATAGCTGTCCATGATGATATCTGAAAACCGATCTCATTAAGATCAAACAGTGTGTCATCCTAGTCAGTTCAAGCAGATACACGGCGGGGATAAGCCCATTTACTTGCCATGAAAAGGCTAATGCTATGTTGAGTTTATGTACAAAATTCTCCCAATAATCAAGTGCCATATGTTTTGAAAAACCCTTACAATTACCAAAATGAGAATATTTGGATAGTTATTTAAAATATCAACTAGATATTCACCACCTGATTATTCATAAAAAGCACAGGATGCTATCATCCCTTTTCAATTTTTATCATCCCAGGAAAAGCATAAACATTATCATTGGTCATAAGACAAAGAAAGTAATCATTACATAACCTTAGATAAGATTTTCCCTTCTTGTAAGTTTGTAATATTGATTGGACTCATCAACAGTTTCTCTATCCAGTTTCCATACCATCATGTGAGCATTGACATCAGCCATATAGTGTTACAGGATCTGTTACCATAATCAACAGCCTGAGCTGATTCTGCTTGCATCAAGTAGTCCAAAGTATTACCATATGGTCAATCGGTAGTCGGGTCAGCCATTTGTGCATGTATAACTTGTGCCCTCGGGACGGGTCTATTCACCAGCCTGATGTTCCTGGTTATGCCCGACTTTGGAAGGTAGGTTACTATTATCAAGCTGACACTGGTAACATTGGAACAGCCTATGGCTAGCTAGTAACACTGCATCTTGTTCAGTGTATCCATGCCTCAGCGTATCCATGCCTCTTCGCGAACAGCTGATTCCATGCTCCCGTTCCTCCTTTCTAGGTTTGTAATCTCTGCATGCTTTGATATGACCTAGTCACCAACCTAATTGCCGAGGCTACCAAAGAGTATAAAAGACAAAATCCTTTGACCGACAAAATCTCCAAGTAATTGCGTCTTTCCTTCGTTCCGTCTTGTTGTATCACTCAGCTGTTGCTCTACTCACTCACTGATTGTATCATCATCAACCCTCGCTCCTTATCGTTTAATCCATCCGAGCCACTCTCTATCGACAACATGTTTAACAAATCTCTCCTTTTCATTGCTCTCTCTTTCATTGCTCTCATTCAAGCGATACCCTTGCTCCGTCGTACTGTTTACACTGGTGACGGCAAGTCAAAATATCAAAAATCACATTGATATCATAACCTTTTAATAAAATCTCTCGTAGGAACCTTTTATACTCCGGGACTAGGAGCTTGTATGTGTTATCCTTCCAACCAAATCACAATTTCCTCACAATGTGTAAACAGGTGGTTTAGTCAATGATGCAACTCAAATGGTTGCAGCAATTGGTCATCAAGCCTTTGACTCCTTCCCGTAAGAATTATGTATCCGTCTAGAATTCAAGCTCATGTTTTTTTTGCAATAGAGGTGCGACTGCTAATCCAAACCTGTAAGAAGGGACACTGCTTTATTATGAGTTTCATGTTCGCATTCATCATACTTACAAGTCGGTCTGGTTGTGTAGTAACCCGATCTGCGGGAAGAAGGTCACCGCCTCTTGTGCGTCTCTTCTTCTCCTGCTTCTTACAGCTGACACCGAAAGTCCGTCTCTCCCTGTGCTTATAGATGGAGGTCACAGCGTCACAGTTGAAATCGTTGACCGATGTGCTGGATGCGCGGGTGAATTTGATTTGGACTTCAGTCTGTCTGCTTTCAGTGTCTTGGCTAATCCGGCCGTTGGTCGTCTCGAGGGTGTCACTTGGGAATACGTGGCTTAGTTTAGCAGATTTACAGTATTTACTATTTATTCTTGAATTATTGTAGTCTTATATTTGTTATGATGTGGTTCAGAACCAGACCAAAAAACTCTTTATCAGTGCAGATCATACACCGTTCGGGAATCGAACCCGAGCCGCTTGCTTCTACTGTGGATGGAAGGCAAGCATGATAACCACTTCACCAACGGTGTATCTGTAAAGATGTCCGAGAAATATTGGATATCCATATGACAGCGTGCGCTGGATACTGAATGCCTTGCTCGTTTTCGTGAACACTTCCCTTCTCATTCTAATGTCCAGCCTATTGACCGGGACGCTCTGGGCTCAGCATGCATTTCGAGTATATTGCTCGTCTGCGCGGGATCTGCAGCGCCCCAGACAAAATCTCCAGTAATAAAAGCCATATGTGTACTCTGGTCTACGTTGTGCGAAGAGTTGTCTTATCTATACACATGCACAACATTGAAAGCAGGGTCCATGGCAGAAGATTACATGACTCCGAAATCAAACTCAGCGGAGGTGGATTGTGAAAATGACTACTATTGTCTAACACAATTCCATCTACAAACCGTCCACGGCAACAATCCTAAACTCCGTTCCACCGGCGGGATCTCTCGTCTCCTTCATAATCTCGCAGTTAAGAATATGTTCACCAGGTGTGGCATTCTCAGTTATGACTTCCGAGCTAAATGAGGGAGAAGATCAATGTCAGAGAGCGTAAAATCAAGGGTAGGAGTGACATACTTTGCTACGTGGCTATAATGGTGAAAGTCATCATGGACGATTAGTGACAGGAAAACATCGATGCAAGACATGTACTAACATGTCCTTATACTGCCAATGACCATCCAGTCTCTTGCCTGCATTTCTGTTGTCATCAACCCAACACCATGCACTGCCCAATCCGTAGCTCCCGCTCCTCAGGTAAGTCACCCTTACTCGACCTAGTGCACTCGTTTGGACTTTGAACGCCGCCTTGACGCCGGGCTTCCGACCAGTCAACCACACCTTGCCAGGGTTTTGTGGATGACTCCACATCGCGAACGCGTCAGGACCTTCAGTAGACAATGGAGCCGGCAGCGCCTCGAGTAGATGCGCATAAGGTGAAGAAAGACCATTTCCGTTCCCTGAGAGGGTGGTGGTTGTTCTGCAAAAGGGAATCGCAGGTCGAAGAACGGTAGTGTGGTCGAACTTTTGGAATAAGGATAGCCGAGGAACGTATTCAGAAACCTGTTCGCCTTCATTGGGGTTAGGTAGACTTAATGTAAGTCCTTCATAGCGGTCACTGTCGTACGGTACCCAATCCCAACCTCCGACAACGTCGGAATCCTTGCCGCTCAAACTGGCATGTTGCGATTGCTCTTCTCGCCAGCCTTCGCATGCGACGCGAGAAGTGAATGATTTGAGAAGGTCGGCAAGCATGCGGTGCCCATTTTGACTAATATGGCGAAGGTCAACTCCGTTGGCGTCATTATGGAACCAATAATTCTCAAGGGAATTGTCTGAGGAGTTGAGCTGAGTGGAACGTAAGATATGCGGGAGAAGAACATTGCGGAGGCTAGGGAAACAAATACTGAGCTTGGCGAAGTTTCAAAGGTAAGACAGAGCAAATACCTTAGAATAGGTGTATCGTAATATTGGGCTACGGCGGTGTGAAGATCACCGCCCATTGTTATAGTTGGAAACATGAGTGCCATTACCTGTGTAAAGAGTAAGTATGAGAGCAAAAGTTGATGCCTAGAAGTAGTAACATACCTGAATATTGATAATCGCAGGCTGCTGAGGTAGCGCGAAAATCGCCCGTATAAGATTCTCATATCCTTTAGCTAAAAAGTCTAGTCGCTGATCATTGATTGCCAATTCGATGATAACCAGATCAACATCCTCCGGAATATGTTCTCGAAAACACGTCTCCATGTATTGACTGACCGTCGCTCCAACTGAACCATTGATAAGTTCGACCTCGACATTAGCAGGGTCAGACGATGTGGACTTGGCGAAGGTTTCGCGGATGTATTCTGCGTAGATGTGTGACCAGTTATGGCGATGATCTCTTAAACCATGGCCCTTTGACACAGAGCCGCCTATGATACCAATCTTGATCTTCTGTCCAGAGCGCACTTTACGCAGTACACGCTTAAGACGAGCATTAGGACCTTCATAGGCGCGCGAACGAGCAAGATTGAAGGAACTAGAAAAGATGTTTATTGAGATGAATCAACCATTTGTCGTGGGAAAAGACCTACCCATATCGTTTGCAAACCTCGTCAGTAGATGTACAATAATTGCAATACGCGGGCTCGAGATTTTCAGACGCTTCGACAGGCGTTGATGTGACTGCTGAAGTCGCTGAGTGTGTGGGTCTCGCTATGATAGTTGTCGTTGTGGTAATCGGAGACAGGTCTGCTGCATGTTGATCATTGGAACTGCAGAAGGACAGGGGAGAGCCGAACGAGAAGGACGAGTTTCCTTCAGCGTCAGAGTAAATGAAGACAAACAGTGTAAGGTAGACGACGATTGATAGCAAGACGACGCCGACAATGAGAAAGTAGTATACAGAGCGTGTGACTGGGCGTGGGGCGGGAATTCGTCCCATGGCTGGTGGGGTAAACAAACCTGAAAACTGGTTGTGTATTTATTCATCTTTTAACATGTTGCATAAGACAGTACAAGACAGGACCTGACAAAAAAACCCTGATTGACAGTCGGAGAAAAGACAGGGGCGGAATTCATTTTGAATGACGGAATATGATGGATTGCCATGCTTGTTTTATCAAAGGCTTTCTCAAGCCGCCAAAATTCTTCCCGGTGGGCTAGAAGAGGCTGACCAGCGTCGATTTTGTGCATAAATATGGAGGAAGTGTTGAATTGGTGTGTTGAAAACTTGAAGTGGACAAGTCGTCAAAACACAACATTGCAGGGCCGCCGAGCACTCGATTTTGACCTACAAGACATTCTAGGTACATGCTGGCGACACGCGTGAAATACCGTCAACCACTGATCAACATGACCCCTTTTCCGGTACTACCTAAAGGTTTCTAGGTTCTAGACATACTTATCTCTGGAAAGGAGACGAGTCACGAACGAGTAATCGGCAGCTTTCATTTATTGTATGGGCTAACATGGATTCATGAGTATACTACGTTAAAGGGGGGTTGTCACAGAACAGATATCGGTAATAACTAAAGCAGAGCAAGATATCGATAACATGATTTAGGCAGATCCATCATCTACTACAGAGCGTCCACGGCCGATATTCTAAATTCTGTGGCACCTCCAGGCTCCTTAGTATCTTCTAGAATTTCGCAATAGAGAATGTGTTCGCCAGGCGTTGCTTTTTGAACAATAACATGCGTGCTACAAGAGATTAAAGCGTTTGGGTGAGAAACTTCCTTGACAAGGGGCAGAAAGAACCTACTTTGTTACATGACTATAGAGATGGAAAGAAGAAACGTTTTCAGTACCATGGCATGAGCAGAATGATTGTGGAATCAACTTACGCATTCTTATATTTCCAATATCCATCCAACCTCTGCCCGTTCTGTCTATCATCATCAATCCAACACCACGCACTACCCAATCCCCAACTTCCACTTCTCAAATAAGTCACCCTCACCCGTCCCAGCGCACTAGTCTGCACCTTGAACGCAGCCCTCGCACCGGGTTTCCGCCCAGTCAACCACACCTTTCCAGGATTCGACTGGTGACTCCAAAGCACAAATGTATCAGGACCTTCGCTCGAAAACGGCGCCGGCATAGGCTGGAGTTGGTGGGCATAAGTCGAAAAAGCCGCCATACCCACAAGCGTGTTTGTTGTCCGGCAGAAAGGGACTGCTGGCGGAACAGAAGTCGTATGATCATATTTTTGAAAGAGTAATTGGCGAGGTACATATTCGGATACGTCGTCACCTTCGTTGGGGTTGGGAACACTGGAAATAAGTCCTGCAGTTCGATCGCTTTCATAAGGATCCCAATCCCAGCCTCCTGCCACATTAGAATCCTCGCTATACGTGCCGATTAACTGATCTTCATGCCAACCTTCGCAAGCGACACGGGAGGTGAAAGATTGAAGAAGGTCAGCTATCATGCGATGGCCGTTTTTACCAACATGACGCAGGTCAAGGCCGCCAACTATATCATGGCCAAACCAATAGTCCTCGAGAGAATTATCGGAGGGTTTCAGCTGAGTGGAGCGTAAGATATGTGGGAGGAGAACGTTACGGATACTAGAGCGCAAGATTATGATCAAGAAAATTGGGCTAAGAAGGTGCAACATACCTGATGATGGAAGTATCGTAGTATTCAGCAACGGCGGTGTGAAGGTCGCCGCCCATTGTAATAGTTGGGAACATAAGGGCCATGACCTATAGCATAATTATAAAGACGAGTCAACAAAGTGAAAAATCAATATACCTGTACGTTGATGACCGCAGGCTTCTGAGGTAACGCGAAAATTGACCGAATGAGATGCTCATATCCCTGTGCTAAATATTCCAACCGCTGATCATTGATAGCCAACTCGATAATCACCAAGTCAACATCTTCAGGAATGTGTTCTCGAAAACATGTCTCCATGTACTGTGTGATCGTTCCAGAGACAGAGCCATTGATGAGCTCAACCTCAATATTGGTTGCGTTGGAAGAAGTAGATTCGGCAAACATGTCGCGAACGTGTTCAGCATAGAGGTACGACCAATTATCACGCCGATCTTTTAACCCGTGGCCTTTCGAGACGGAACCGCCAACTATGCCGATCTTGATTTTCTGTCCAGACCGTAATTTCCGAAGAACGCGTTTAAGGCGCGCATTAGAACCTTCATAGGCGCGCGAACGAGCTAGATTGAAAGATCTACGTCGATGAAGTCAGTGAGAATTTGTGATGAATATTGTTAATTTAGCTAACCCGTATCGTTTGCAAACCTCATCAGTAGGAGAACAGTAATTGCAGTACGCGGGTTCAGGTTCGACTGGTTTTGGAGTAGGTGTCACTGTTACAGTCATTGTTGAAGTCGTCGGCGTCCTTTGCTTCATGTCATGGGTATTCGTAGAGCCGCAGTAGGTTGAGGGAGAGCCGAGTGAAAGGGATAATTTTCCCTCCACATCGAGGAAAATGAAAAATGTGAGGTAGAGAATCAAGGAAAACAGTCCGACCCCAACGATCAAGAAGTATTGGACGGGGTTTGAGAAAGGT